TAGTTCTTTTTGGCAAACTACCTGAACTATGGTTTAAGTTGTATCTTTCATGAAGCTACCACTCTTCCTTGTTTTACAGCACTAAATTCTCAATAACTCCATTGTTTTTGAGAGCACCATTATACTTGAACTTCCCACACACTGTTTTAAATAAAATCAATTCCTTTGGGAAATTTTCAAAGCTATTTTATGCCCTGGCTTTTCCTCTGAGTAGAATCTCTAATCTGTTCTGGGAAAAATGGAAGTTCCTATGGCCAGGATCTTCAACTCACCCTAAACTACCTGATGATGTAATTAATTTGCCTACTGCTAGGCTAATGCTTCCCCACCCTAGCCAATAAGCTATTATTGACTAAGTAGTCACTATATAAAGAGCTCTGCCCAGTGCTCTGCGCAGAGGTAGAGACAAGGTGGATGCAGACATGATCCTAGTGCTCAATCTACTGCTGTGAGAATAAAGATATCCTAAACCTTTTTACCTCAAGAACATTCTTTTGTCATTTCTAGGTCTCACAGAATTCACAGTGAACTTACCTGGAGCTGAAACCCTCAGGCCAGACCACCATAGTTCTGGAAATGAGGCAGAGACCGTGGCACACATCTTTCTGAGTGTCATCTTTACTTTAGATGCAAGGTACTTGGTGGGGGCTGTAACCTATGGTCTTTCTATCTTGTGTTCCCTAGCATAAATACTCCACTCTACAAACAAGCTATTGGGATGTGGGTGGTAGACGCCTTGTAATTTGTTACAAACAGCTGTGCCTGAAGAAGCATATGTGTTCGATTTAGATGAATAGATACGTAGATGGGTAGACAGGTAGATAGTAGTATTTTAACTATTCTAACACTTTATATGGGAATTCTACTTCCAGGGTGGTAGTGTGAGATGCTCTGTGAAGTGAAAAAACATAAGTGGTCATATTTGAATCAACAACCATTTACAGTCTCTGGAAATTGTCCTAAGGCCACACAGTGAATGAGGAAACATACATTTTAGAAAATTTACTAAATTCTTGCTATTAGGAACAGCAAGAGCCAGTGTCATTTGAACCATGATTCACCCCCTCCACAGCCCATCCCCCAAGTTCAACTTTATTGAACCTCCACTCAGGTAAGTACAATGAAAAACACAGAGCTCTCTCCCCCTAACTATGGTATCCTCCTGGGAGAACTGGGTTTCTTATTAGACCTTTATCCATTATTTATTTGCTTCTGTTTTAATTAACAACTAAATATATTTTTGCATTTTCTATGTTTTAAAGTCTATTTTATTATTTTCACACCGTTCTGTGTTGTAAATTATATATATATATGGTTATTCATATGATACCATGTGTGTATATATATATATGTATATATATATACATATATATATATATACACACTGCATCTTATCTGCATTCTTAATTCATATTTATCCTTTACATTTAGGTGCTTTTTGTTTTGCCTAATTTTATACATGATTATCTTGACAATATTTTTATTTTGTGTTTCCTTTGAGTCAAGTTGGTAGTAGATAGAAAATATTACCCTTTATATGCTAAATTACATTTTGCCAAGATCCCAACTTTAAAAATCAGGTCTTATATTAGCAGCTAATATATGTGTAACCCTTTTCCATAAGGTCTGGCAAGAGAAAGTCAATATTCAGAAATTAGCTTTTTGTCCATGATGATACGTTATACAATCTTTAATACAATAATCTACTTAGTTGTTACTCCACAGCCTTTTCTGAAACTGACTTTCTATCACCTCCCATTTGCTAGAAACATAGGTAATGTGTATGAGATTCAGCCTCTAGCAGTGACTCTGTGTTTGAATTGAACTAAGGTAATAGTGATATTTGAAAGTGCTATTCAATGAAGATTCTATTAACTCTCTAAAATGCTCTTATTGATTTAATCATTAGTGGCATTAGTTTCTAAAAGTCAATTCTCCACTGTAGTGAAGGAGGAAAACTTTAGTTGAGTATTTGACATTTTTCTCCCTCCTTTATCTAAAGAATGTTGAGTGTTTTCAGATGTTATTCATTTTCATAAGAAATTATTTTGAAAATTAAATATCATTTCAATACAAAATTATATTTGAAACACTATATATTACATAAAAAAAGTTTTCAGGCAAAAATTCTTCTCTGAAATGGATTTAAGGTTTTCAGCATATTCATGTTATCTGATCATCTACAATCCTTTTAACTGTCAAATATTAATTGTTAGTCCCAGAATCATTCATCATATTCTTCCTTTTATATTTATTTGTAAATATGTTTCATCTCTCTTACTACATGATAATTCTTTTATGTCAGGCAAGTATTACTAGCCCTTTATTTCACTAGAGTCATAAAATAATGCTGTGCACATGTTACAGATAACCAATATTTCTTAAATTTGATTAGAAAGAATGAATTCATTTCAAAATGAACAGTTTAAACAGACATCATAACAAACTTAGATTCTGATAGCTTTATTCTGTTTTTTGCCTTTCCAGTTGGTTAAAAGTATTTTAAAGTGTATGAAAAGGGACATTTTAATAAAGATAGAAAACCTATATAGTATATGGATTTCATTTTTGATAAGGGATCTGATAAAGAGATGCTGATTCATTGTAGCCAAATAAAATATCCTCAAAATTAAAATGTAATTTGATCACATATAATTTATTATGGATAAAAATGTTATGAAATATATAGGAATGTAAAAAGTTTTGAAAGAGTTACCACATGAGATGATGTCACTGTGTTCTAAGGTTACCTGTGAGGGTGTCTCTCTCTTAAGTCTTTTCAGCTGGAAGAGACTATAATAAAGAGAGCATGCACATGAATTTGTTACTAGAAGCAGTCAAAGAGATTTATGGTGAAGAAAATGTATGCCACATATATATAATGGAGATTATAGATTATATGTCAATATTAAATATAGATGCATACATATGAAGTATAAATGCAAATCTTGAAATTGCTGTTCAGTAAATTATCTCAATCTAGGAATATATGTATAGGAAAGCAAAATGAAATATGGAGTTGGTTAGCATTTAATGGGAGTAGTGAAATTTAGTATAACAATATTATTGGTCAATGTCAAAATTCACAAAAATGCACAAACTGATTTTTCTTCTAGAAATCTACCCTATAGAAATATTCACATGTATGCTCTATATAACACCCCCTACACACGCCCTTAGGTAATACCTCTCCAGTTGGACTCTCGGCTTGGTCTTATCTCTTCCCTTGTTTAGTAGGATATCAGCAAAATAAGGCAACCAGAGAATGTAAAATAATTCTGTACTGGGACAGTTTCCCTCTTGCTGATGAAGTCTCTCCTTTTACTCACTGAGCTAGCCAAAGCAAGTTTGTTGAATAATGAGAGACCAACAAAGAGTAGTTCCAGACATCCCAGTTACCCCAGCCTTTTCAGCTTATAACCCACACAGGAGTCAGATGATTCAGCCCACCCAGCCAAGCCAACCAGCCCTAGGTTAGGCAACTCAGGCTGAAGGAATGCCCAGCCAACACACTGAATTATGAGAAATAATAAATGCTTGTATTTGCAGGGCTGGGAGGACACTAAGACAGTTACAACTGATATATACATTTCCCATCACTCTGCATTTTATTTTGCCCAATTTCCACCTGGTTGTTATTTTAGATGTGACACAGGCATGACAAAGACAAGACTGAATTCCAAGATCAGATACCACTCATACAGGCTGGCTGGTGCTGTGTTAGTCACTTGGGCGTGTTGTTCTAATTTAACTCTAACTGTTAGATCAGTTTCTTTATCTTTCAAAATATAATTAGGCCAGGAAATCTCTCACACCATGCTTATTTTAAAAAATAATAATAATCTGATTATCATTTACTGCTTGCTAAAAGGAGTATTAGGAGAGAATATAAAAGAGAAATATTTCAGTAGCAGCAATCCAAATGTGATATCAAATGTTGGTACTGATATTTCATACTGTATATGCTTGCATATTCATTCGTATTGGATGACTTTTATATTGAGAGAGAATGTTTCCTAATTTGTCAACAAATAGTTTGATATATATACATTTACTCTAGTATCTGGAATTTCAGTGGCATCTTTAAGGACCTAACTGTAACAGAATGTATTAAAATAAATATTAAAAAGATATGATTAATTTTTATTTTTTAGGTTGATATGTTATTCAGATAACATGTGTGGAGCCACCATTCCCAAAAAGATGTTTTTACCATTGGCATTATTAATACATAAGTGTTGCTAATGACAAGACTATTGTTGAAAAGTTTCTGGAGGAGGAATCCTTGATGTATCAGAGAGGGTCCAACAGCAAACAGCAAACTCCATTCTGGTTATTTTGAACAGAGAGAGATTTGATGCAGGGAACTGGGTGCTTACAAAATTCCCTTTCATTTTCAGATACTTTAGTTCTTTGTCAGAATGATTGGATCTTTTTAAAATACTATCTCATTTTTTACTAGGGGAATAAAACTTATTTTACATTTTTCAATATGTATTTACCCTGTGCATTTTTTTTTCATCTATTTAGGTGAAGTTTTTCTGTCCTATGTCTGCATTTTTTCATCACAAAGGCACTTTTTTCTTTCCCCTTGAAGTGTGTTCTTCTTTTTTATTATAAGCTCAGTTCATGTGGGTTTCTTTGGTTAGTTGTTTTTTGTTTTGATGGGTTCTTCTATTTTTATTGGACAGATTTTTTTTTATAGAGTAGATTTAAATTTCTTTCTGCTCTCACAGGAGAGTTTAACAATTCTGGACCACTTTATGTTAAATTCCCACATTTTGGATACCTGTTCATGTGGGTGGAATAAATTTTGATTCACTATCTTCTGCACAGATTTGAGATTTTGAATCCTCAAGTTTCTTTGTGTGTGTGTGTGTGTGTGTGTGTGTGTGTGTGTGTGTGTGTTTCCCCCTGGAGCTCTGTGGTTATTGTACACCTCCTTCTGCTTCACCATGCCCACAGAGCAGGGATATTTTAGTTCTTATTATAGTAGTGTATTTTGGAGTTCCAATATTTATGGAGGATTTTAGTTGTCATTCTGACTTCTGGCCCATGGTTCAGTCTGTTGTCACTGTGTGTACTCAAAATTCCTACCTCCAGTTCTCAACTCCTTGTCACCATGATGTCAACTTCCAGCTTACTCACCTCTGAGTTTCCAATTTGTTAATTATACCTAAACGTTTTAGTGACAAATTATTTTAAATAACATTCCATTTGTTTGTGGATGGAGAAGGCATCACCTTATTTTTCCATGTTATAGAAAGTTATCTTACTTGCTTTGAAAACATTATATAAATGTAAAACATATCAGTATATAACTTATTTTTTTCTATATTTCCAGTATATACCTTTAATTTGAAGTTGCATTAGTATCAGCATGTCAATTCAATGCATATTAAGGAAATTCAAATCTGTGTCTAGAATTTTGAACAATCAATTGCAATAACAAGTATATTGGCCCTGACTTCAAAGTGATTAATCTAGATAAATTATAACATATATAGCATATAACATAAACCTATACATTTTTATGTCTTTTGATCTTTATCTACCACTTTTCAATTTTTCAAATCATATAGAATAAAATTTAAAAATTAGTCCATCTCCCGTACAAGTCTATAAGTTGTGAATTAGCCCCATTTGAACATTTTTGAGTAAAAGAAAATTCATAATTCTGCCATATTATACATTTTACTGTTGGTTGGCTCTCATTCTGAAATTCTCATAATTATATGCTTTCCTACAACACTCATCCTAATTCTACTCACCCCATAAAAAGGAGTGAATCTTTTCTGTCCTAAATAAATAATATTCACATATTTGGAGAAAACACACTTCATTCCAAATTCCTAACCCTTTCTCATATTCTATCATAACATGAGATAACATGCTCCCAAAGTTTAACCAACCTGGTCACTTGTCCACTTCTTTTGAGTTACTTTCAAATTTCAGTATCTAAAATAAAGAACTCTGGGGGTAGCTCAGTCTACAAAGAAAGTGATTTTACCTTCTTGAAGCAGATGCTATATCAAATCACATTAAACTTGCATTTTCACTTTCACTGGCTTTTCATTTGGATAAGCTATGTCCATTCCTGAACCTTGTTCT